TTACCTGAACATGTGAATATATATATATATATATATCTAAGAGAAGGCTTAAGATTAAGATATAAGCAATGTGACTATAAGTATATATGTGCTCTAAGTGATATGACTTATAGGTATTTCTATTATAATATTACATAATATGTTATGTATGTTAAATGAATTATGTGATGGTATAAGAAATGATATGAAATATATATATGAAAAAAGTATATGTTATGAGATAAGACTTATGACTATAAGCTACGTGAAAGTGTTCTAGGTGTTTCGATATATTATATGAAGTATATGATCTTATGTGAACAAGATATGATAAGTATGTTTACATGAATAAAGGTGATTGGGTGAGAAATGATAGAAATTATATGAAAACATGACATATGTGACATGTGAATTATATGAAAATGATCTACGTGTAAGTGAACTACGTGACTATGTGATCATATGAAAAGAAGCTATGTGATACGTGATATGTGAAAGTGAATTACAAGTTTATGTGAATATTTGAAATGAAATAAATGATAACGCCCATGTTATGTGTCATGAGAGCTAGGGGTATAGTTGGCATGCCAAGAGTCGAGGGTCTACGCGGTCCTTCGGGATATATATATATTCTTTGGAACATGTGTGAAGCCTGATGAGACACATATATGATCCCTAGCATATGTATATGATTCTTAAGGAATTCTATGTGGTCCTTATGGACATCATTATATGACACTACGGTGTAATTCTACGCGGTCCTTCGGGACATATGTATATTCTTTGGAACATGTGTGAAGTCTGGAAAGACACATACTTGATCCCTAGTATATGTATATGATTCTTAAGGAATTCTATGTGGTCCTTATGGACATCATTATATGGCACTACGGTGCAATTCTACGCGGCACTTCGGTGCAATTATACGAGCTGTGGTGACAGTATTAGTGCACAACCTCTATAGACTCACATATCGATAGTTCTCACATATGTACATGGGCTAATCCAGAGATATGAACAAATATAAGTTAGTGGTATGATAAATGCTATAGAAATGATATTATGTTGTGTGTGTATAGTGTTTGATTGAAAAAGTATGTGATTATATGATAAACTGTTAATGATGAATTATGTGTATGTATGTATTTACTGCAATTAATCTGATATGATTTTATACGATATGAAAAATGCATGGAATTGCTATAACATGATAGAACAGAACATGCATGTATCAATATATGTTTTAAAGTGCATTATAAGTTGTTATGCCTCACTAAGTCTTCGACTTAGCGTGTGATTGTTTCACACGTAGGTTTCGAGAAGAGTAAGGAGTGATGCGGAGCAAGACAGGTCAGTTTTCCTTACCAAAAGATCATATCAGAAATATTTGACAAAGTATGTATTTGGTTATGTATAAAGTGTTGGCATGTAATAAGTCATTAAGTACGAGTACTCTGATAAAGTCTTTATTTTGATTTAAATAAAGTTTTAAATTTCCCGGGATTTTTTCTTAAGAGTCAAGGTTTGAAAAGTCAATGTGACACTTCGGACTCGTATCCGGGTCGGATACGGGTTGGGGGTGTTACAAGTTAGATCTCCTATCTGTAAATAACTGGTGTTATATGAATGCTTACTATTATGTTTTTGTCCAAGGACTAAGGGGTCAGCATATGGTTTAACTTTTTAAATTTATTTTCTTAGTTATTTTATTAGGTTTTACCCCCTTATTGTATGTATTATGCAGAGTCGAAAACAGAGTGACGATACTCCAAAATCAGGGAAAAAGAACACTCCTGATTCAGAGGATGAGTCTGAAGAAGAGGAGGAGGAAGAAGAAGAAAAGGAAGAGGAAGAGGAACAGAAAGTAGAAGAGAGAAATGAAAATGGAGTTGCCGAAAAATCTAAGGACAAGATGCCTGAGGATTCTGAAAGTGAGGAGAAAAATGAAACTGAAGATGATTCTGAAGAAGATGCAAAGAAGAAGAAAAAGAGTTCAAAGGTATCATCCAGAAAGCAGGAATCAGCTGGAAAAGCTAAAACCAAGAAAGTCACAAATCCCAAAAGGTCTACCCTGCAGAAAAGAATCCCAAAAACATCGTCGGCGAAAAATTCAAAGGCTGATGATGATAGTGACGAAAGTCCTAAGGCGTCTTCAAGGAAGAAACCTCAAAAAGTAACCAAGGAGAAGCCCTCTACACCAGGGAAATCTGCCTCCAAGGAGAAAACCAGTAAGATATCAGCCTACTTTCTGTATTGTCAATGCCTTTTATTAGGGAAATTGAATAATTGTCTCCCATGACCAAATTTGTAAGATCGGCTTTTGGTTCTGAATGTTTACTGCGACATCTTTTTTTGTATCTTGTAAGGCAAAAGAGGTGGAATGGTGAAGAACAAAGCTAAAGAGCAGAAACTGAAGCCAAATGATCATGAACTGAGGGATACAATTTGTAAAATTCTTAAGGAAGTAAACTTCAATACGGTAAGATCTGCTATTAATATACTACTACTAGAGTAGCTGCATTCCTTTACTAGACCATTTTTGGGCTGGTCCTGACTACTAAGACTATTTTGGTTTTTGAATTAGAGAGTTTATCAGGACTTTGAGTTCAGTGCTAAATGGGCTATCCATGGATAATAATTGCACTATCTGTAACCTTCACTGGGTGTAACTGGAAAGTTAGAATAATCTCCGAAGGTCATTGACTGCTAAGACTATTTGGTCTCATTTTGTCACCTCAACCAAACATTTTTACTTGTTTCATTGAGTGATGCTGCTGCTGATGTTTTATTTTGAATCATTTCACCGAAGATCTTACCAGTGTGGAAATGAGCTGTACACTTTTCCATTGTAGTTTTGGGAATGTTTATTGACAAAAATATTGCTTTTTGTACTTTATTTTTGAAACACACCGCCCTTGATTTTTGTACTCTATTGATTTCATTTTCATTTCTTTTTGCTTATAAAGGAATTTAAAAATTCTCTCCTATGTTTTCATTTCAACATAGATATCGTTTCCATTGTTCCAGCTGACATAAAGTTGTATTACTTATCTGCAGGCTACATTCACCGACATTCTGAAGCTTCTTGGTATGCATCCTTCACTTCGTAATTGGTTCTCATAACTATGTTATATAATAACAATTCTGTGGCTCAGTGTTGAATTATGAAAGTTAACAATGAAAGAAGTTTAGGCAATGATTTGCCTTCCAAATTTCATTGCTAATTTTGATGGGGCCGCTCAAGGCAACTATGAAAACCGACAATGAAAGGCATCTTTTCAATGGCTAATTTCAATCTGTCTGATAAGGGAGTCATAGTAATGTTTGGCCTTCTAAATTTCTTTGTTAAATTTTGAGGGCACCTTGAGGTGGAGCTTGAAATGCTTGTTTTAGGGAGTGGTGGCCTAGTTTCTAGGATGTATAGACTATTCTGACAAGCAATGTCCTAATGGAGAATCGACTTTTTTCAGCACAACATTTCAATACCGACCTCACACTGAGGAAGTCATCGATCAAGCTCATGATCCAGGAAGAGCTTACGAAACTAGCCGATGATGAAGATGAAGAAGGTGATGCTAAGAAAGACGAAACCCAGTCCGCAGGACAAGAGGTCCAAGCCTGACCCCCTACAAGATGTGGAATAATAACTACACTGGAAAACGAAAACGTGTAGGTATTGATCTCTTGTGCCAATATGTACTCTTTAGCTATTACTTAGCAGGTTTGCTTGTAATCTATTGTTGCTTTTTTCGACGAGCAAAGTAGCATTTATTGAATACCAGAGAGGGAAACTGGAGTCACCTTTCTGTGTTGCAGGATTTGTACAATCAATTAACATAATCTGTAGGCACTTTACTATCAGAAAACCGAGTATTGAGTTACAGAACAGAACTGCTCGGGTTTTTTTTTCAATCCATGCTATCTTTTTAGTGTTGAGAACTATATTGGTGGGCGTATCATTCTGTGTTTTAGTACCGGAATGTACCTAAAGTTTAATATTTGTGCCGTTACTTAATGCGTTTAGTATTTAAATTATTAATTTTGGTCTGTTTTTATAATTAAACTTATTTTTCTCTCTCAAAATTTAACGTTAAATTTTGAAATGATATTAAAATAAAACAAAAATTACTATTTCTCAATCCGTTATGTCAACATCGTAACGGTTAAACAATAAAAAGTACTGGTCAAAATGTCACTTTAGGTTTGTATTTGAGTTAGGGTCATATTTAAGGTGAGTTTGGTTCACGGAATGTAAGATTATCAGTGATAATGTAAAATTATTAGGGAATAAGATTATTGGGAATGTTGTATTTTGTGTTTGGTTGGTTTAGCAAGAATGTAAGATTACTGTGTTTGGTTAAAGGAATAAAATATTATTAGAATGTATATTTGATCAAATTGTTATTATTATATATTTATTTTTTTAATAAGTTGGAAAATATTTATATATATTTTAAAAAAAATTAAATTCATAAAATTTAATTTTTTTTATAAAATTGAAAATATAAAAAGGTTCAATGAAAGGGTAAAATTTTATTTTAATCTCTGAACTTCATATAAAAATGTAATTATAGATATTTTTTGTAAATTTAAAATAGTTTAAGGATAAATTTGTAATTTAACCTTCGTAGAATTTTTATTATTCAATGACAGAAGGATATTTTTGAAAAAAAAATTAAAGGCATTTTAGTCCAAAACGTCGGTAATTCAACAATACCTAAGGAAATAGAGGTAATGACATTCCCGGTAATATACCCTAAAAAATCCACTATTGATAATCTTACATTACCAGAAATGAGATTCCCATGCTAACCAAACAGGGAAATGTAAATTTCATTCCCATGAAAATTCCATATTCCCCAACCAAACCCCCCCTCAGGAAAAACAATATGAAAGTTAGATTGAACTTTTTTAAGAAGTATTGGAACCTCTTATATCTCTTTGTTTTTTTAATATATTTTACTTTAAAAATATTTATTCTTTTTAATTTAATTAAGAATATATTTTGAAATTTCGAGACAATGGTCAAGTAACGGTTAGAAGTTTTGAAAGTGTCAACGTCGAATTTTGAAGACCACACGGTTTTTAAAAATTTATATCAATACAGGGGGGGAAAAAGGAAGAAAATACCATTAAAAAAATCGAAATGCTTAGATTCATTCTTCTCCCCATTTTCTCTTCACTGTTCTGATTTCTAGAAATGCAGTGGGAGCCGGCAATGCGCCTTCTCCGTCTCCAAAACCCACGCCAACGGAGACTCCGATCGCTTCTCCGGCGAAATCTCCAACCACTTCGTCCCCTCCACCGTCGAAATCTCCTTCGCCAACGCCTGCGACAACTTCCACTGCCACGCCTCCACCAGTTAAATCCCCGTCCGAAACTTCCTCTTCTTCTTCAAGCCCACCGGTTCAATCCCCAACCGCCGCATCTCCGGCGTTGGCACCCGTGAGTTATCCTCCTCAATTGTCCCCGGTCGGGGCTCCGCCTGTTTCTGCTGATATTCCTTCAAGTTCAACAACACCCGCCGAGAGTCCAGGGGTTTTCCCATCGAGCAGTAGCCCTCCCAAGTCCTGCTCCGGTATGTTTGTCCCCCGATAGTGCGGTCGGTCCTTCTGTTAATGTCGAATCGGGTTCAAGATCCGGTGACCAAATCGGATCCGTTCTAGGTTTTGGTTTGGTTATTGGGGCCGCCTAGGCCATTTAGATTTTTGATATTTTTGGATTTCATTTTATTTATTTACAACGCAGCATTAATTCTGGATTTCAAATTCTATATATAAATTTTGTAATAATAAAAAAAATTACAAATTTCATCAATGAACTTTACTCTCTTCTAATTTTTTTAACTTAAAAAAATGTTCAATATTCTCACTAAATTTAATACATTAGGGTTTTTTTTATTAAATTTTACTCTCTCTTCTATTTAAGTTACTTTATCGTCAAATAGTTAACGACAATAAAACAATACCGATTTTAAAAAAGATAATATTTTTACTAAAACAACGTCGTTTTATATCTATATAATCATTAATTATTTAACAGTTGAATGATAAAAAAATAGAATATATTAAATTTAATAAGTGAAATAAGAGAGTAAAATTCATTTGTGAAATTTATAATTTACCCTAAAAATTAGGACTTCAATTCTTTTTCTTGTATGGAATGCAGTTGAATTCGTTTAAAAAATTGTACTTTTTAATATTAAAAGTACTAATGGCAAGATAATATCCATTGATAATACTAAATTACAGTTGTAGTTGCGGATGTTACAACGATATCTAACGCGTAAAAACTGTTACGGGCGTGACAATGAAAATTCGTAGGAAAACGGAAACTTGGTTGGCAAGAAACTAGCAGCCGTAGCCTTTGCGGCAGCTTAGAATGCCAGCATACTGGGCCGTCTTTGTTATAAGTGAAGTTGGTCTAGCCACCATGCTTGATGCTCTTATGTAGCTTTCTGGACCTTCTTCTCCAGATGGCGTAAAAAAAGCACCATTCGCCATCATATCTCCTTCCGATCTCCAGTTCCAATTGCTCCACTCGTCGAACGAGCTTTCGCGTTTCGTCACCTGATTTCGAGTAAAAAAAAGATGGAGTAATCTTATGTATGGTATGATGCTCTGCATTGTAATGGACGGAGTTATTACTTAGTAGAGAAACTTGCCTCCTTTGCATAATTGTTATCTGATGCTATGAACACATTCCCTTCGCTATTGATCGTCGGGTTCGCGCTTCCTCCGATCGCATACATTTCCCAACCGACATAGACATTGTTGACGATATGAAAGTAACCATGCCTGCACCTGCAACATTTTGACAGTATGTTTAGATGTCATGCTACTTATGTTATGTGTGTGTGTGTGTGCATACCGCTATAGGCGACGGTTACCTCGGCATTCTCTGAACCAGGCCTTCCCCAAAGTAGTTGAACGCAATTGTTACTTGCATGTTCTTGTCATCAAGGAACTCATCACTATGCCCCATGAGCATGACTTCGTTGTGATGTAGCATATAGTTGTTCGAGATTGTTATGGACGTCGAACCGTACGTTGCGTCGATAAGCCCGTCGTAACACTTTGCTAGTGTGCAGTGATCGATCCAGACATCCCTTGAGCCGAATATCGAGATTGCATCGCCGTCAGATCCACCGCTTATTGCGTATTGGGGTAACGGGTTCCACACCATCGCATCCCCCGAAGGTAAGCAGTCATGTATGTAGATGTTATGTATGATTACGTTACTCACATTGCGTAAGGTCATGCACGGTCCGTTTGTTATTTCGATATCGTGTCCTCTTCCATCGACGGTCTTGTATGAGTTGATGAGGAGTTGTGCTCTTAGGCTTATGACCATGTCATGATCAAAGATGATCCATAGAGGTTCAGGTTGAATCGCCGCATGACGCAGCGTACCTGGAGTCGGAGATATCGGATCACCGTCACCCGGATCCGTGACCACATAAATTTCACCATCCCGGCCCCCGATGGCATCTTTACCGAACCCAACTGCGCAGTCGGCCAGCTTTTTCCTGTTGGACTCCCATTCAGGGTCACACCTCCAGCAATCATCTATAGGATTACCAGTTGCACATTGTTCCGTGTCCAACTGCCTTCTCGTTGAGTACCTGCATACATGCCATGGCACATTAAGGAAACTTACCAGAAATCGGAAAATACGAGAAAATCGTTAGTAGGTCGCCGGAGAACCAGAGCAACTTACTCCGGTACGGCTTCGGATATTTTCCGAGGGGTATGTATGGAGAATGTTGATGTAGCATGTAAGCATAGGAGTAGGGAAAGCAGATAGAATATTGTCATCTAATGGAAGCTTTTAGTAAACAATACAAGAGACAGATGGCTCAAAGATGTGGGTATATATTTATAAATAAGATGAACGTTGCAGGATTTATATTGATATTATTATGCATAGTGTCAAAGGACATTATTTATGACTAGATTGGGATTGGTTCAAGTGATAAGTAGTTTGATATCGTTTAAGTCTCAAATTCAAGTCATTTTCTACGCAGAAAATTTTCGTTGAAAGACTCACCCATCAAAATCAGGTGTGTGACCCGGGTCGATCCAAATTAGTCAAAGCAAAGCCTTAAAAATCGGAATGTAAAAAAACCGACATTGATTAGCAAATTTGGTAAAACTTGAACTTAGGAATTGAATGATGCTGTGAAAAGCTGGTCAGTGTTCCCACTTGAATGGGGGCAGAGATTTGTTGTGCTAAATTATGGAACCAAAAGGATTTGGCCACTAAAGGCGACCGAATAGTTAGGTTCATAGGTGGCAGGCTGGCTGGGTAACCCATTTTTTAAAGGAAAAAATGCATCAGAGGTCCCTGTACTTTTAAAAAATTAATGTGACCGAATATTTCTCTCTCTCTCAATCAGGCCCTCCAACTCAGAAAATAAATTCAATGTGGACCTTTGACGTTTTTTATCATTGACCGTTACGGTATTGACGTGACAGTTTATTGTATTGGCGTGGTGGTCCACAATGTTGACGCAACAGTCCTTGATGGTTGATAACGTGGCGGATGACATGACAGATGAGCTAAATTGGTAATTCAAACATGGTAGAGTTTGTCAGCACCATGAACTATCACACCAACACCGTAACGATCAACGACGAAAAAATATTTGTCATAGGGCCACATTCAAATTATTTTCTGTGTTAGAGGGTCACATTGAGAGAGAGAAAAAATATGAAGGTCACATTGATTTTTTTCTCAAAAGTACAAGGACTTTTATGCCTTTCGGCCTTTTTAAATAAAAAAAATGAATTTTGCAGGCTTTATATGAATCCACAGAATAGTTAGTGCCTAAGGAAACATTTGGTTTAGAAAATGTCGGGTGCTAAGGAGCCACAAATCTGTATTATTTAAGTCCATTATAGCTATAACCTAATTTGTAAAAGAAATTTGATTAGGGTCGGGTCGAATTTGGATTGAGGGTGAAATATTTCGATTTAACCGGACTCGAGAATAATAATGTAAATTTCTATAAAAAATTATTATTTTTTAGTTAAATCCTTAATTTATATCGGGTAAGATTGGATTTATACACTAAAAAATCGGGTCGGGTATATTTTTCGGGTCAGATGCAAATAGTAAAATTCTCGATTAATTAATTGATTTCGAATTGAATTAGCCGATAATCGAAGTTTGAAAAAATCATTAATCGTTAATCGACTGAACATAAAATTAACCAACTGATTAACAAAGAAAATCCAATTCGATCTATTTAATCGATTTTAACCGATTAATGAACAGCCGGAAAGAAAACTTGGCGCAACCCAGGGTATTGAGGAAATAAATACAATCTATGCACATCCATACAGCTACTTTTTCTACCTATTAAAGTCTTCCAAAGCTTTCCTCTTAAATGTCTTTTTCTTTTCAAAAAAAAAATAATCATAGTTTGTGGTTGTTATTATCCAATTGGTTTTTTAAAGAAATATTTATGTTTATAAATTTCACCTTTTAAATTTATTTCGATTAGAATTTATCTCGATGATAAAAGAGAATATTGTTTTTTATAGAGGTCTCGGATTTGAATATCAGCATCTGTAGAGTGTACGTTGTCAATAGATAAATAAAAATCTTAATAGATACCACATTATAATCACTCTAAATTATAAAAAGAATAAATTTAATTAGATTATTATTAAGATATAGATCCCATGGCATAGAGGCGAAATGGTCCTTTTTGGGAAGACTTCATCATCCTCTTGAATGCGCCATTAATCAATTAATTATGACTCAATTTAAATCAAAATAGATAAACCGATATTTTCATCATGAACTTTATAACTAATCTCCAACTATATTAACCATATATTTTGATTATAAAATTATTTATTTGTCACATTCAAGTTTTACATCCGCCCGAGATTCAAATAGCGATTGCAGCCACGTTTTCGATCGCTATCGTGGACATAACAGGAGCTATTACTGGTATCGTGGTTATATATATATATATATGCAGGCATGAACGCTAAGAAAAACTTTTTTGATTGAATTAATTATTAAATTAAAATATAATATTAGTAGTGAGACAAAACACTATATCTTTTAACCAATGATAGAGATTCAAATCCTGACTGGAGATGACAAGAAGTCGGATTTTTAAGTTGATCTGACTCGAAAGTAGGTATCATCCACCTAACTCAAAAATTTTATATCTAACATACGACCCGAAAAATATATATCATTCACTCGACCCAGTATAAATTAAAGATTTAATTAAACAATAATAATATTTTTTTAAAAATTACATTATTATCCTCGGGTCGGGTCGAGTCGGAGTTTTTTCACCCTCCGCCCGAACCCGACCTCACCTCTTAAAATATTGACCTGAACTCAATTTTTTTAAAAAACAATCCGACCTTATTAGGTCGAGTCTGAACCTGTTGGATTCGGGTTAAATTACCATCCCTAATCCTGATATTTTATATTTTCATATAAAATAGACTGGGTTGGGAGGGTCGCACCAATAATGCGCTTCTACAAAATCTAATATGGCATTTGCTAATAGAGCAAACTGGGTTGGGAAAATCGCCCCCGCCTCTGCAGTACCCGTATTGGATTAGTCGATCAATAGATCAGATACCAGTGATTAATTCAAAAAATATATATATAAAAATATTAAAAAATAATATACATTATAATATTAAATTATTCATATCTACTTATATTTAAATTATAAATAGGGTTAGGGTCTATTTACACGATCTATTTTTTTAATTTTACATAGATTTGAAATCGTTAAATAAGTGAATATCTTCTTATTTCATATTGTTAATCAACCACATATTTTGATATATATATATATATATATATATATATATTTAATTTTACACTTTAAATTATTTTTTTAATAAATATCTTATCATTTTCTACTGTTAATTTCAATTATATATTTTGATATATATTTTAATTTTTTTAATATAATTGTAATGTAGTATTATTTTTAATTTTAAATATTAATTTATATTTTTATATCTACTGTTAATTTTTTTATATTTTTAATTTAATTTCATCTTGTTATGAATATTTATTATTGTTATATAGTAAATTAAATTTCACTTACAAAATAACCGAACATTTAGACTTATATTAAGAAAATACGATCATATATTAAGATAATACGATCATATATTGTTGAATTATATTTCATTATAACAAATTTGGAAAAAAATACGTTTTCAATGAACAATACTATACGATATGAATAGTACTATATTGTATGAACAGTACCATGAACAGTACCGATTTTAAAAATTTTCTAGAATGCTGCAGGGGTATCGATATCCTGCTACAGTGTATCGATACCCTTGCTACAGTAATTTCGTCCACTTATTAAAAACTCGTAAAATTTAAAACGTTCATCACTATACATTTACCATTTACATATATACATTTAAAACATTACAAAACTCAATCATATGATTTTACAAAACCAATTAGAATATATATAGGATTCAAATCTTTAGTTACATGCCAACCTCAATCAATATTACAAAATACAATCTATTCAATTCTTTTTTGATCTAATCTTTTGAAAGGAGAAACTGATCTGTCTTGCATAACTTTTATCAATCTTCCTCTTCTCGAAACCTACGTGTGAAATAATCACACGCTAAGTCGTCGACTTAGTGAGGCATATAAAACATATAATAAAATCATGAAACATTTCTTATAACAGAATGCATACCTGCATATATACCATCCTTACCTCATTCCATTATCATTTATATCTCTTAGTCATTCTTAATTAAACAATACACGCACAACAACATATATTCTGTCATTCACCAATTATCCACCTACACATATATTATAATTCACATTCTTATTTCTGTACATCATGTAACACACATAACATCTTATAATCCTTATAATCCATTAACATGTTTATCAATACTTATATTACTATCACTAATTCTTTTTTATCATATAAGCATATACTGAGCATTTCTATACATATCATCGAATATCCATATCATTTCACAACAGAGCACACATAGTATTATATCAAGTTATTTATTATCTTTAAAGCCCATGTACATTTCTGAGAACTCAAGGTATATGAGTACTTTGAGGTTGTGCACACATATGCTGTCACTACAACTCATATAATAATCTGTCCATATGTCCCGAAGAACATAGGTAATCTGTCCATATGTTCCGAAGAACATAGGTAATCCTATCCATATGTCCTGAAAGACATATGTAATCCTGACCATATGTCCCAAAAGACATAGGTAATCCTGTTCATATATCCCGAAAGACATAGGTAACCCTCGACTCTTGGCATGCCAACTATACCACTAGCTCTCATATCACATAACATGGGCATTATCATTTATAAATTATAACAGTTCATATCATTGCTCTTATGATCATATATTTCTTTTCTTCTGTCATGTACCACATGTATGTGTAAACATCGATCTCATATCATTTAACATGTATCACAAGTGCATGTAATAACGTATTACATGTAATCACGTAGATCATTTCATATAGTTTATATCATTTCTCATTTATTCATGTACATATGTCATATCTTGTCCACATATGTTCATATATATATATATATCATATATACTTTGAATCATATTTTTTTACATAACTCATATAATCCTTTCCTATAGTTCATATTTTATTGTCACATATTGCATATCACATAAATCACATAGCACATACAAGAACATATCAATTCATGTAATCAAGTATACATACATTTCATGTCATTCACATCCTTATAATCAATACTCCATACACTATAACTATTGGAAATAGACTT